ATCAGAGTGCTGCTCAGGAACTTGGAAAATCATTAGTTACCATTTTTATTTGAAAGACAGCTATGGTTTTGCTATGATTTACTGCTGAAATACTGTTGATCCCCGCCCAGCAGGATCCACTCTTAGAACACTGCTTCTGAAAGTATCTGATAAGCTCTTGTGGTGTTAGTTGTGTGCCTTCAAGTGGCAAGGTGAACCTATCATGAGGTTCTCTTGGCAAGATTTCTTCAGAGAGTGTATGCCATTGCCTTCCTGTAAGGCTGAGAGAGCATAACTTGACCAAATTCACCCAGTAGATTTCCATGGCTGAGCAGGGATTCAAACACTGGTCTCCTGGAGTCCTAGTCCAGCATCAGACCACTATGCCACACTGTCTCTCCATCAAATGTGGCAGATCATTAGTGTTGTTCCCCACAATGGGCCCAGAAGCTCATTGGAACCATTTATGCCACAATATTATTGTACTTCCTTTTATATTTCACAAACAATTTTTGAGTATACCTAAAACACAAACAATGACAAGCACTAACAAACAAAAATGAACACACACTATTGACTCTCTCCCCCCCCCATGGATATATATCACGATTTCTTTACTTCCTTATATATAACAAAATATTTATACTTCTAACATATACCAACTCTGTTTAATTTACAAAACCTAAAGCTCATATGCAATAAACAATTCACAAGCTTTCTCAAAGCTATTCAACTTCTTGTGTGTTGTCATGTCAGTTTCTTTCCATCTCTGGGTATATATTGTTCTTGCTGCTGTGATCTTGTATTGTAATGTCTTTTCATTTGTTGCCATGTGCCTTCAAGCCAATTTCTTCTGTTTGATCAGTCAGCATTCCAAGTAGGAAAATCTCTGGTTTCATTTGTATCATGACATTAAAAATGCTCTCTAAGACCGGCCATCCAGTCCAACCTCCTTCTGCCATGCAGGAATACATAGGATCCTGGAGATGGAAGGGGTCCCCAGGGGCCATCCAGTCCAACCTTTCTTCTGCCATGCAGGAATACATAGGATCCTAGAGATGAAAGGGATCCCCAAGGGCCATCCAGTCCAAGCCCCTTCTTCAGACATGCAGGAATACATAGGATCCTAGAGTTTGAAGGGACCCCAAAGTGCCACCCATTCCAGCGTCATTCTGGCCTGCATTGTGGAAGAAACTCCCTTTCAGAATGACTGCTGTTGCTGACAGAATTCCCACCATCCTCAAAGCATGAGTGATTCTCCTTCTCAGGAGGGTCTTGCACTGAGGTTGGATGAGGACTGCTATGCAACTAGAAGGGTGTTTGAAGATTGTGGAGATAAGAGTTCTATATTAATCTTGCACCAACCAAAATTCCCCCAAACCTGCCTTTTAAGCAACCCAGAGACCCACCATGATTATTTCCATGTCTCAAGGCCTGAGGCATGGGTGGCCTGGATTCCAAGGCAGGCTGCTGGGGCCAAAACCATGGATGCTGAACATTAGAGTGTCTAATGGACCAGAGGCAGGAGGTAAGATCAGGAAGCAGACCAAGGCCTAAGCACAGCAAGGCAGAGTACCAGGAGTCAAATGAACATTAGAGAGTCTAATGGGCCAGAGGCAGGGAGTAGAGCAGGTCTAAACACAGCAAGGCAGAAATCCAGGAGTTCTGTGGGCCAGAGGCAAAAAGAAGGGCCAGGAGATGGACCAGCAAGGTTAGCAAGATAAGGCAAAATGCAACCAGAGCAGTATAGGCAGCACAGAAGACGGTGTTGCTGTGGAAAGGGTTGAGGGGCCAATGCAGCTCTTTAATGGCTATACCTCCAGCTGCCCTGCATGAGTACAGCCAGCTGTGCCTGTTGGCCTAGCCCTGATCTTTCCAGGACTCTGACAGCTCAGGCCTGGTCTTGCAAAGACTTGGGCAGCAGGACTCCAGCAGCCGGAATTCCGATCCTGCAATGGGCTACATGGGTAGACTCTTATACCATGTCACTGGGGAGCAAGAGGGGAAATCAGTGGAGATTTATCTGTTGATGCACATAATGCAGGGACATCACTTCCAAGGACCTCCTGAGAAACAGCAAAGAAATAGTGGCTTTGGTTAAGTGTGGTTTTCAGGGGCTAGCAATGGGAAACTACAGAGACATAGCTGCATGCCTAATGAACATTTCTCAATGTAGGATTTCTGTCTCAGATGGATGTTGACACCACTTGGTATGGAACTGTTGAAACTGCTTTGTATGAACCTCTGAATCCAGCATCAGAAGATACAAAGATTTTTTTAAAGCTTCCATGCCTTCCTAAGATACAAGTTGCATAGCACAGAAAAATCATTGGAGTCTATGGATTTTAATTAATTCCATAGACAAGCTGATAGTCTCTGGACTTAATTAAGTCCCAAGGCCATCAGCTTTTAATTAAGAGCAGCTTTATAGACTCAGACCAATTGTTGATCTAGACAACTATCCTTTTTCCTACAGTGGCCAGTAGTTTTCATTCCAGATGAAGTCCACCACCTCATCACAGGACAATAACCAGGCACTGAATGCTCATCTCTAGAGACTAGGGTTCAAATCCTTGCTTGCTCATAGAAATCCACTGGGTGACATTGGATAAGTCACACCATCTCTGTCTCAGAGGAAGGCAATGGCACCCCCCCCCCCGACAAATCTTGGCAGAAAATCCTGTGACAGGTTTGCCTTAGGGTCATCATAAGTTAGAAATTATAATTTATAATGTATATAATATATAATTCTTTAATCATCAAATAGAAATTAAAATATATGCACCCCATCCCTGTGTGTTTACTGGTTTTGATTTGCATCTATGCTCAGTAGTCCCTCAATTATGTGAGATGCATTTAGTCACTAATGTCAAAGGACAAAGGTTGTATTACCCTGGGGGGGGGGAGTAATTGGCAGCTAGAATTAAAGTTATTATCTTCAAACTGAAATGGTGGCAGATTCCTTCCTGCTCTATCTTCAGCTCAGAAAATGCCTCCATTCTGAGATAAAGCAGAGAAGCAAAGCAGATATCTCATCCTTTCAGATCTGTCTGTGCTTCCCTCCCTCTCCTAGCTCAAAGTTTTTAATTATATTTGATAGCTCTTGTTTGAAATCTCCAGGAGTTAAGTAATTTCTTCACACTATAAGCCTATCGGCTTGTCACACACACCAAGTCTACATACATAAGCATTTAAAGGAGCATCCTGTAATCTCACTTAAACCTGCTGCAGTGATACACTCAGAAAAGCCCTGGGTGACACATCTGTTAAATGGCTAATTTGTGTCATGAGCTAGGTTGGCAAGGGGGAAGTCCTCCAAGCAAAGGGCTGGGGAAGGCCAGCTAGGAAGGCTTGAGGGATTTGATCTTGGTAAGTTTCAATACACAGCAAGGATCCTACACCGTGATGGAGTTATGCATGGATTGTGCTACACAGACTTGTGCAACTGAAGGCACTCCTTCTCCTGTTTTTGCTCTCAGGAAGCAAATCAGCATCTCACAGAGATTTTTAAGGAGAGAGAGAGTCCAGGTCACTAAGACGTCAGCTAAGAAACAAAGGTAGCCAACTTTGGTTCCAGTAATTTACAATTTAGTATTCAGTCCAGACAGGCAATCCAAATGTAGTCCAGAAGAATAGTCAGAAATCCAATCATAATTGAAGGCAAACAGCCAAGAAAAACAGCATCAGTGTAGCTTCATCCCAAAGGAAGGTTGGTTTTCAGCCACAATTGTCCAGATGAGGTATTGGGTTATTTACAGCCCACCTGGATCTTGCAGGTGGTCCCAAATTGCAGTATGCTTCCTATATAAATGCTATTGTGAGGGTCTGCATCTTTCTCTGTCCTGATATCTTGGGTTGGTAAAGATAAATCTGGTTCTTCCTCCAAGGATTGTGGATGCTGAAAACTCTGATCCTGTGGCTGTTGAAGCCTCTCCTCTTGTAGCTGCAGACCTCTTTGGACAAGCTGAAGTTTTCCCATGAATCCCCTACACAAGGAGGTGGGTAGGGATCCTGAATATGGAACAGTCACAAATGCATAACTCTTAGGAGATTATTGCACTTCATTTTTCACCCAATCTGGGCATAGGCTAGAAATGGGCTTGAACTGGTGAAAATGGGTGTTATCACACAGCAAAATGCTGCCAATGCCGCTGGGAGACTACAAGCCATCTCCTAGCCTCTCTTAACCTGCTGATTTTGCAAGGATAGAAAGCTTCCATACGTCAAAATCAGTGAGCTAAGCATGGCTGGGGAATGGCTTGTAGTCTCCCGGCAGCATCAGTGGTGTTTTGTTGTGTGTTAACAATCATTTTCACCCATTCAAGTCTGTGCCCGGATCGGGTGAAAAATGAAGTGCAATAATCTTATTAGTTACACATTCAGACATAATTGTATTCCAATTAGGTAGTGGTGGTGGTTATTTGAATGGTAGACTCTGAGCGGCTATGGCTGATGCTTAAAGGTCATGTTTGCCGGGCTCATTCCTGTAATATCAATGTTGCAACATCACCAGCTCCTGTCCCCTATAGGACCATAAGTCACTCATATTCAGGTTTTGACACTGAAATCTTAGAGCTTGGGATAGTCTTGACCTAGCAACTGTAACATAATCTATGGAGTATATATAGGTTTTTATTGATCTGTTGGGACTAACAAATGGATTTAAACTGTTGTGACCTGATCTGTACCTGCTGGACTAATGTACAAAACAAAATTTAGTTAAGCACTTGTTTTCATGCTTCTTGAGTGTTCCACTGCAGTACCCATACTCAAAATGCTTTTAAATGGAGAGAGTAAATGCATTTAGAAATGTATGCTTCAAGGAAAAAATGCATCTAAGAGTATATATTTAACTGCTTGTTTCTAGGATTTTTTTGCATGATTAAAGTAGAAAGGGGGTGGAATAGGAGAATGCATGTGAAAGCAGTATAACTAGAAATAGACACCTCCTTGGCCTTTTGTTAAAAATGAGATTAGTATTCTTATCAACAGAGTCATTTATGGCAGCTGGTGGGGTTGGTTTGGCATGAAACAGGTGCATTGATCATGCAGATTCATGTGGTCTTGTGAGATTTGTATCTCTCTCTCTTTCTTTCATGCACACACCACACACACACACATAATAAAAGAGAGAGAGAGAGCCCTAATTGCATGTGAATAATTTGTTCCAATGAGGTCTAGAACTAATCTGAAATGTTGTATGCCTCCTTGGCCGGATCATTCCTCCTACCCATCCTTGGGGAGTGAAGGCCCTTAAAGAAGCAGTTTTCTGGCATGGAGCCTAGGAGGCAGAATCTTTTTAGTGGTTTACATAAGCATATGTGTCTTAATATGTGCATATGTCTTTTTATGGATGGGACTCAGGGGGCTATTCTCTTGCCTTTTATTCCCTTTCC